ATTTAAATTTAAATTTAAAGTTTTCTATTAATACTGATGTACTTAATTAAATTGAGGTTTTCCTAACTTATTGTTAAGCTTTATTCAGACCACGCAAACACCTGCTTTTCAAGCACTTATATTAAGTTCTAGGCTTCATATTTAAGCCTTGATTGGGCTGCCTTGCTATGTGTCGTTTCTTGTGGAAAGTTAGCTAGCTGTAACTCAATCTCAACATGAGCGTCGCCAATGGAAGGTTCAAACTAACAGGTTCAATACTCTAACGGCCAAAGGAAAACTTAACAAGTTAAATTAAATGCTCTTTTTGAAGTAAGGAGATTAAAAACACATTACCAATGGATCACGAAAACGAACGCTTTGGATATTTATGGCAAATACTAAATCAACGACAAAAGGCGACGGTGGTTTTGGAAACCATTATATTCTCTTTGGTGATGTTTCTTTCGCTTTTTGGAAATCTCCTTGTCTGCTCTGCTGTATACAGAAACCCTAGACTACGCCAGCCAAGCAACTACTACATCATCTTCTTGGCTCTAAGTGACATTCTGCAAGCTCTCTTCACGATGCCGCTATCAGTAGGGATGCTAGCCACAAGTAACTGGCGATATGGGATTCCCACTTGTTATTTCATGGTCATTTCCATGTTGTCCCTGGCGCCGGCCTCTATTTTTACCATGACACTCATGGCATTGGACAGATATTACAAAATAGTGAACCCAATTAAGTATCAAAACATTTTTACAAAAAAGTTCATCATTGTAACTGGAGCACTCGCCTGGATTGCACCCATTTTGAACTCCATTCTCACAGTATTTGCTTTCGGCTTCGGCGTCAGTCCCCATCCAGGTCTTGCCATTTGCAAGATAGAGCTTAAAAAGTTCTATTTCCCAATTCTGATCATTTTTCAGAACTCGCCATTTTTTGTCATCATGTTCTGTTACTGGAAAATTTATAAAGTTGTTAAAATGCACAATGCCGATGTTTCGTGGCAGAATTTGAATGCAGAAGAAGTCAACATCAGCAAAACTCTTTTCGCCTCCGTTTTCAGTTTTGTTCTTCTTTGGGTTCCAGCTAATACCATATTGCTTCCTTCCTATTTAATGTCGGGTAGTTTTAATTCTCCTCGGGTAATTTCACTCATTGGAACACTCCTAGTTTTTACATCAAGTTGCTTAAATCCCTTCATTTATAGTTTCATGAATCGTTCCTTCAGAAGTGAGTTCAAGAAGTGCTTGATACCAAGAAAGCCTCAATCAGTGGGCACAGATTCCAATTAGTCACAACCTAAAAAACTTTCTGATCAACGGGCCGCGGGTTTGTTCGTTTTAATTTATTTATTAATCAGTTAATTTTTTTATTCCGAGATTTAAGGTAATCTTTTTTTCACTCGCTCTTTGGTAGATGATAATGTTATTAATGGGAAAAATGACACTGTGGAAGCCAGGGAAAATAAGTATAGATAAATTCCAGAAAATTGCCATCATGATGTTTCAACAAAGTTAATTTCCAATTCCATGAACAGCCAAGAGTAGAGTACGGAAAGCAATGAGTTTTCTCCACATTAAAGATAAAAGAAAAAAAACAGAAGACTTCAGCCCAAGTCTTAAATTAAGCTCCAGAGTCAGCGTGATCGGTTTCCATCTATGCACTATATGATTTTGGGGAAAAAATGGATGTTTAACATCTTTCAATGAATATTGTTTTAAGTCGAGTTCTATTGTAAAAAAGCACCATACAGGCCACCTCTCCAGTATAATCAATTGTACTCTACCAACTTTTAATTTAATCCATCAACCTTACTCCACAGATTGCATTTTAATTATTCTCTTGTTTAATTTATTTTGATAAATCGTATGCTGCATGCATTTTCTATATTGACCGTCTTTATTTAGATTATCATTGCGGTCTCTGTAAAGACAGTTTCTTCTCAAAGTCATTAATAATTCATCAAGTTAAAACAAAGAAAATCACAACCGTGAAGGAAGTTTGGATACCCGGTCTTAATTAGCATAGATTTTGACGATTTTACTTCTCTCTTTACTCGTTAGTTTTTGTTTCGATTGAGAAGATGTAGCAAACACTCGAGACAGTGTTTCATCGGCTATCCAAACACCTCGAATTTCGAATTTCAGCTCTCTTCTCGGGTTTTGGATATCCTGATGAAACACTCTTTCTCGCGTTTGATATATTACTTATGACTTTTGGATTCATTCCAGAGGGAGTGAAGATAAATTCATAACATAGTGTTATGGCCTTGGAACACATGTCAGTGGGTGCACTTGCTATCAAACATATACGTTATAGTTTTGCCACAGGGGGAGTCTTATTTATTACATTGCCACTTGCGAGCAACGATTACTACTTGTATTGCGACAAGTGCCGGATTTGTCTCAATTAATTTATTTTCATTGACTGGAGGAGCAGAAAAAGCAAAAGTACCTAGACAAACTTAAGCTACCAATTATTGAATCACATGCCTTGTTGTCTCCTTGGCAATAAAATGCAAAGCTAAACGCGCAGATGCGCAAAAAAAGGAAGACAAAAGGGGAAAAAAGGAAGCACAAATAAGCACACTAAGAGAAGTAAAATATACTTATACCAGGAAAAATGACTTAAATTTAAGAGTGAACGCAGCAATCCTAGAGGCATTTTGAATTTCAGTGCTGATAGAATTAGGTAATTCCGTGAGGGAGATGCATAAATATATGTTATTGGCCGACTGGGAGGTCCATATAGGGAAAAACTGTGACCGAGGTCTTGAAAATGCTGCCCGAGGCCACAGTTTTTCACTATATGGCCCGACCCCAAACCGGACAATAACATGTTTATATCTTGCCCATAGTTTAACAGAGTGCATGGGGATAGAGAATGAATAACTTTACACACATCGGGACAATTTATGCTTATGCCAAAGGCTACTGTTGCTAACACTACTCGAAGTTCACTCTCCAAAGAACAGAACTGCGTGACGATTGATTTCTTACTGATCTCATCTGTGATGTTGGTAAACATATTAATCAGACTGTGATTTCCAAGTTTTTGTAAAAACATTCGTAAATCATTGCACAGTCATTTCGCAGAAAACAAAACACAATTACTTTGGAGGCTTTTTACCCATTGTTCTTAAGGTCAGAAATAACTTCACCAAATATATGATGCATCGGTTGTTCTCTCTTTTCAACTTCCTCATCAGGCACAGTTTCCATTTTTTCTACTGTGTACATGCTATTTGGCCTGTTGCTGGTTGCCTTTACTGTAATAAATTTATGCATTTCAAGGATTTTGAGTAATTTCTTTGACCATGGCAAGAGTGGCTGTGCCAGTGAGTGCCATGACTGGGACACCATGCATAAGAAAAGCTCGAACTTCGTTCAGTTCCCTGTACTCATTTCGAAACTTCTTTCCCCTAGTTTTGCAAAGAGTTAGTGTTAGGAAACAGTATGTTAGAGTGTTAAATTGATATGTAACATGGTTATGAATACAGATGATAACAAAGAGTTAATATTTAAATAGGATATAATAATGTCAGTATATGTAACATGGTTATGAATCAGGTAAATAACAAAGAAATAATATGTCAATAGCAGATATTAGTATTAGAGTAATAAATGTCATGCAAACATTGAAGTGAAAGATGATACAGGTGAATATGTTATACAAGAATAACAGTTACAGCAATGAAACAGTATATCAGTGTTATATGATGTGCATTTCTTGAAATAGAATATCAGTGTTACATGATGTGCATTTCTTGAAATCAGATTACTTCAGCCGTTTAGTATATTTCACAAAATGCAGAAACATGAGCTGAAAGTAATTTTGAAATAGAAAACTATGCAATGTATTCACGACTTCTTCATAGTTTCCTTTGATTTTCTTTCCATGTTATTATTTGCTACTCGCAAGAGGCGCATAGGAATTGGTAATGGGGGAAGGGGGCGGGGGTTTGGGTAATGTCAGCTTCTGTTTTTCAATGTGGGTGTAGTCACAAGAAAAATAGTTAACAAACGGTTCTCATTCAGACCATTTACAGTTAGACTTTTTTTTTACCCGTGCACTCGTAAGGGGAACACTTGACTGTACCATTCATTTGAAAATGTGTTCCTCCTACAGGTTTATTTTCATGCGAATCAAACTCATTTTTACATGAAAGGTTTTGCCCAATGACTCATTTTAAAACAGAGGCACAGGGTAACTAGGAAATGGCCTTCTGCAATCAAGCTTTGGCAGTAGTCACGGCGCCATTGTTTTTAATGATAATGTAGGCATTTTGTTCGTTGCTTAACATTAATTCGTTGACAATTCATGGATACCCTCAACGCTTGAAGTTCGCAATCTGATATAAATACACCTGTTTCGGAGGCGAAATTGCGGTACAAACCTTGCACATAAGAAGTAGAATAAGTGAATTTAAAATAATAAAATACCATAGTGTAACTAGATACCATATTCAAAAACAAAAAATAAGAAGAAAAAAAGAGACGACAGGAAGAAAAAATGCTGACATTTGCTGTGATTTGAAATAAAATCTATCGTAACTTTATATAATTTTCATTTTACTTGCATCGAATTTTTTTTATCCCAATAGTGATCA